GCAAGAACGTGCCTAATATTTAAACTTTTGGCTTGAAAAGAAATCGTAATACGTTCAAAAATAATGGGAGACAGTTTGACTGTCCCGGGGAGAGAGAAAAATATATAGTAATATACGAACAAAGTAACTGCATAAAAATGATTAGTTAATACTTTTTTAATTCTGACCCAACTAATTGCATGCATGTATGCGCTAACCTGCGGCAACATGTATACATGTTGAGTGTACCTAAGATATTTTGAGTTGGCGGGTATATTCTCACGAGTCTCTAATAATAAGGGGGAAAATACATAAATCGCATGCAATCTTAGTAAAGAAACGAGTAATAAATCATAATGTAAATAATAAAAATTTATATACCAAACTTAGGGAGTTCAATTTCAAGTCAGTGTTCATGACCGTCGATTTACAATTATTGATTTCACTCTTGCAGTAGTTCTTGTCGCTGCAGAAGTTGCAAACATCATTGAGACGAGCTTTCTTGCAAGATTGCATATCAACTGTTGTTTCAATTTTGGGGCGGTCTTTTTTGTTGTTCCCTTTGGTGTATTTCGCCGTGAAATCGCAGGAAATGGCCATTCCAGACTTCTAAAATTTAAAATTTTCCAGCGGAGCATGCCCCTGGACCCCCTAGAATGTGTGTGTCTTAGAGCAGGACCAGTCAAATTTCGCTAGCTACGCCACTGATGAGTAATCATGCTTTGAAAAGGGATGGCGGTGCATATTTGCCAGTGGAATACATACATCTCATTGGCAGGTGACGTCATCCCTTGGGTATTTGAGAAGCCACGATTGCATCTAGAGATCACCCGTGACGAAGACATTACACTGGAGTGTCGAAACGTTGGGTCTTGATTACAATTGGACTGGGCGTTGTAATCATTTACTTAAACCAGAGTAGCGAGCGAAATATTTATCACTTATTTACTGAGACCGAGGGAAACAGTGTGTTTTGTGGACCCGAGACCGTCGATGTTTCCCGAGGCGAAGTCGAGGGAAACATCGACGGTCCACGGTCCACAAAACACACTGCTTTCCCGAGGTCTCAGTAAATAAGTCTTTTATTTTATATCAATAGTCAAAGAAACAACAAATTAAAGAACAAATGAACGTAAATACATGAAATATTTTATTCTTAAAACTTTACATTAAACACTGGCTACACTGCAGTTACTTAAAGCGAAAGTTTAAATTACATACTAAGCATGACCAAAGGTCGCATCTTCACGTGATGGCGCACGTGATTTTTTTTGTTATTCGCCGGTCGATAACGTATTATCTCCCTCTCGCGCTGTTGCGAGGGAGACAGCCTAATTTCGTCACTCTCACGTGATATGCTCTCAATCAATAAAACACTAGAAAAATGCGACTTTGACTATTGATATATAATAAGATAAATTAAAAGCAGTTTTTTAAATTTTATTTTTAAAACAAACTTGAAAACTCATAAAATACTAAAATACAGGGTTAGCTGGAAATCCAACAGACCGAACAGTTCGGTATTGGCAGCCAAGAAATCAAAGACAATTGCGCAAGGCAATCTTTTCTGCTTGCGAATCTTTGGATCAGCGAATGATCCAAAACAGTTAACCCTTTGCAAACACAATGCATTTAATGAAACGGCTTTTAAAGGTTTTCCGTTTCATGAAATCAAACAGGATTTAGTTTTTTGGGACACCCGCGCGGTGGATTAAAGCAATTCGTTTTCCTAATAGCTTCTCAGCTCACAGCAGATGTGGGGAAAGACGACTGGGAACAAGATTGACTTGAAAACCAACTTACTTCCTTTGATAACTGCAAGGTATCGGCAAAGTACACCTTATGGTATCGCAATTTGTAACCTTCGGCATCATGCCGAATGATGTTGGCCGCCAAAATTTTAAAGTCGAATTCGAACCCTCCATGGGCAACACAGTACTAAAATAAAATGAAGAAAGAACTTTAGAATTTTGGACAACAAAGGTTCAAGAATTAGCTTTCACAGGGTGAAAACACCAACATTGAAATCACCAGGTTTACGTTCTAACAGGTCATACCTGGGAAAACGACAGCGCCATACCTCCTCAACATGTGCCGTCTCAAATTTTTGATGTGCTTCATCAATTTATCAAACACATCAGGGAACGTAGGTTCCCCTTCTAGGTCTTTCTTCGTTATTCTACATTCATTCACAGCTAAAGGAAATGGAAACGTTTTACTTATACGGCCTGAAAATCACACAATATATTTAATATATTAAAGCAGTTATGTATTAATATGGATGCTCTTCACTATGTACTCTTTCGTGCCTCTCCAAGTTAGATTTCGTGAAAATGTCTCGCAATGTTTGAAGGCATTGATATGGCCGTATACGTTTGTCCCTCCAAGGTACAGGACCATATCGAGACTTTTTTGCGCATCGTTACTTAGATTAATTTGACATCATGATTATATATGTACCGAGTAAAAAACTCATGCAATAAAATTTATTATCAATCCGGGAAATTTTCACAAAGGCTACATCAAAAATATTGAACTAACTGCCATAACAGATGATCATGAAATTTAACGAATTCCAAAATCTGGGTCTACATGGGTATGATTCCATATATTTTTTGATAAAGAGGGAAAATTGGATGGTGCCTGGTGCTAACACGCCGTTGCCCAATAGCAACAAAATCTATTATGTTCTTTGGATCAAGCACTTGCGACTTGACATATGTATAATTATGACATATATTTAAAAATAATTTACACCCAAAACAAACAACATTTGAATATGATTTCTATTAGATATATTCATATGCTTATGCCATTATTTAAAACAGCACAAATATTTACATAAACTTGGACAGCTCAATAAAACGTGACCAGTATAAAAAAGATCGAAAATTCTATTATAGTCGGTAGAATTCATCAAGCAGTTTCAGCTTAGCAATTATCGCAGTGCCATATTTCTTCCCGATCATTTATTTTCATCCGCACGCACAGTCTAGAATAGAATTGTTATTTATTATTAATTGTGATTATTGTTTATTATTATTTTTGATATTATTATTATTTATTATTATTATGAAGATTTTATACAAATGAAACCATTTCTTGTACGAGTTTGCATTCGACCCATGAAGCTTTGCCCCCCCCCCCCCTTCCTGTTGGGTGGCCACTCACGATTACATAATAAGACTAGAAATTACATGCATGCAGAAACCCTCGCCTTGCTGACAAGACCATTTTATTTTCCAAACGTGAAGTATTTAAAGTAGTTGTCATGGTAACACGATAATATTTTAAGAATAATTTTACAAATGAAAAATCCCCTAAAAATATCACTTTTAATTACAAAGTTATCAATTTCCCAAACATATATATGTTAGATATGTTATTATACGTAATATAAGCTTCAATTTAAGGTAAAATTCAACCACAAACGCTTCGCAAAACGTTTTAAAGTGTTCTTTTAATATAGAACTATAAAACTGCCTTTATCGATAAACTTTGAGTTCGAAATAAAATGATTCCAAATTCTTCCATGCAAATAACTTTGCTTAGTATAATAAAAAGTGTAATCAATAAAGAAACACTGAAATAATACGCTGTCTTGTTTCATATTTCTACGCAACGATCGGCTTTTAAAGTAATTACAGTATATTAAAAGCAAACAATGCATCAATATTTAAAAAAAACTTTCCTTCGTTAACGTCGGCACCTTGACTCTCTTCTTTTAGCAATTCGTTTGCCTTTATTTCATCATAAATCTTTTGAAATTTACAAAATCTTGCAAAAATGAAATATATTTGCAAGAAATCATCAAAGATTATAATGCCAATTTTAAATTGGACCAATCAGTGTTGGCTATTCATGACAGTCCGCTATATTATGAGATCAGTGAGGATGACCACCCACCGAAACACGCACAGTGACCCACGCCCGCGATAATTGATAAACTTTAGACTTCGCTAATGGTTTCGTTTTCCCGAGTGTAAATAGCCGGGGGGAATTAGTACCCTCGCACGGCGCTTTGCGCCGTTGGCTCGGGGATTAATGGACCGTAAAATGTTTAAGTAATCGTGTTTTACTCTACTGGTTGTTACACAATATGCGTGTATGTATTAGCCCACCTTCAAAATATGACAATGACGATCACACAGTTTTCTCGATTACATGCTTGTCAGGTTCAATCGGGTGTAACCAGTATGTGGTTTGATCTGCGGGACTTATAGACAATATCTTGATTACCAAGTGATCCATCAATTTTGCATGTCGAGTTGCCCCATGTCAATCTAACAATTCCTGAATTGATTGCCCAGGGCAACGACGACGACGTTTTGACGATAACGACGCACGGTGAAGGTTCACCACTTCCCAAAGGCAAGAATGATCGTGCTTTCCTAGAATAAAATATCAATTCATTACTTATACATACTTAATTATGATCGCCAATTACAGACATATGCGACCAGACAATCCGCGAAACCCGAAAAATTCCTAAAGTTTTCCGATCTCTCAGTCCGAAAGTCTCATTTCAGTAACAGATAATCTACCTAAAAGCTAGAAACGAATCCCTACGACCTCGTAGGTTCTATTCCCACCGTGGCCGGGCATATTTTTCAAGCACGCCCGGTGTGGATATACACTCAGAGTGACATCACAAACATTATATTCACCTGAGTACATAACACCAACACAGAAAAAAATCATATTACAAGATTACATTGGTATCGAAATTCTGTTCCAAAATATCACTTACTCGAACCGACCTGACCGCGTAGCTTAGTTGGCAGAGCATTGGGCTAGTATTCCAAAGGTCGTAGGTTCGATTCCCACCGTGGCCGGGCACATTTTTCAAGCTCGCTTATATCAATACTCTTCTGCAGGGACGCCGGAACGATGTGAAGGCAAGGGGGGGCATATTTTCGTCAAAGGGCACTTTTGAATTGATATATACTAAGAGATGTTTGCAAAACATCGGGAGTTGAACCCTAGCCTAATCATTTTTTTCTATTTATTGGATGATAGGGGTGTGAGGGGGTTCTCCGCCAGGCGATTGTGCTATTCTTGAAGCTCAATGACTGCATTTCTTGCGTTTTCTGAAGCAAATTCGTAAAAGAATTGCACTAACATTTCTGACAATTTGCTATTTCGCCCAGGCAATCCTTTAAATTGAAAGGGCACCTTTGCCCCCCTTGCCCCACCTGGTAAGGGGCAATGGGGGCGGCTGCCCCTCCTGCTCCCCCCCCCCCAGTTCCGGCGTCCCTGCTCTTCTGGGTTTGGTTTTCACTGAGTTTTGGATTTAGCGCATGTTCTCTCCATTCGAGGTCCACACTTTGGTTTGCTGTTCGAGTACCGCTTGAAGAATGTTGGTTTGTTGTTCCGGTACCGCTCGAGGGATGCTGGTTTGCTGTTCGAGTACTGCTCAAGGGATGCTGGTTTGCTGTTCGAGTACCGCTCGAGGGATGCTGGTTTGCTGTTCGAGTACCGCTCGAGGGATGCTGGTTTGCTGTTCGAGTACCGCTCGAGGGATGCTGGTTTGCTGTTCGAGTACTGCTCAAGGGATGCTGGTTTGCTGTTCGAGTACCGCTCGAGGGATGCTGGTTTGCTGTTCGAGTACCGCTCGAGGGATGCTGGTTTGCTGTTCGAGTACCGCTCGAGGGATGCTGGTTTGCTGTTCGAGTACCGCTCGAGGGATGCTGGTTTGCTGTTCGAGTACTGCTCGAGGGCTGTGACATCATTGACAATTTTGCTGATGACAATTTTACTGATATTGTTGTTTTTAAAGGTTAAAAGAGATGGAGACGACATCAGTATTTTTGATGATTCTGAAATTTGCTTTAAAGTAAAACAATTATGTGGTGGCAGAAAAAACCAGACACATACTTTTTTCCTCCAATGATCACGTTATATTCATGGTTGCCGAAGATCGAATTGGACGATTTTTCAAAGTGCCACAGATGTTGGATTTCAATGCAGCAAACAGAAGTGTCTGCGTGGATTTATCACACAAAAGAAAAAAAATAAACTGCAAAAAACAGACCGGATTTAAAGCCATAACGACAGTGTCGGATTCACCATTTGATGATCTTATCATTGACAATGTCCAGTCAAATTTTCTCAGCTGCAGCGGAGGATTTTATCGTCTGCGCGGAGGCAAAGCGAGTGACACCTATGTTGTTAAAAGAACTTGCAAAAGATGCGTCATCAACAATTATGACAGCGATGAAAAATCTGACTTGCTCTTCATCGAGGAAACATTCAAAAATTTGAAAGCATTTTGTATTCCCAGCTTCGGGGAAAGATGGAAATACCCAGTCTCGAACAATCCAGAAGACCAAGACTTTCGTGCTCAATACAATGGTACGCGAACGATAACTTTACGAACACGAACCGGCATAAAGAAAAACATTTTGAACAACATATTTTAACCGTAAACTTTGTTCTGTATTTTCCCGCGAAAACATTTATTCACGTGTGACTTTCGAATAATTTACTTGGGGCAGGCGCCACACGCTGCCGTGAGGAGCGTTTTATTGGTGTTTTGGATTGCTGCGGTCTTTCGTTGAAGACCGCACATGCACTCGTGAGCAGGAAGATGTTTTGGGTTGTTGTGGTAAATCTGAGGAGGAATGACATTGCTTACGTGAACGATACCGAGCTTTGTCTCGTTTTCCCAATTTACGTGTGGTGGATTTGCGTGGGAACCCAAATCTTGAATGTCGGTCGGTTCGGAACTCCAAGATACTTATGAGGAGTGACTTTAAGTTTGTATAATTTGTGACAACATTTACGCAAGTTGATATTTATCGCGGCTTCTAAAATGTAACTTTTTTCTCAACTAGGTATGCTGATGTCAACTCGAACTCCACGCGGGACCTTAACCCCAACCACGACCTTAACCCCAACCACGACCTTAACACCGACCACGACCCCACCCAACCCACCTCAAACCCTAACCGAAACCCACCTAAAACCCGAACCACAATCCCACGCAGAATCTTTACCCCGATTACGACCTCGCCCCAGACCCCAACAGCAACCCCACCCCTACCGCACCCGGAAGGACCCCAACAGCAGCCCCACCCCTAACTCCACGCGGAACCTTAATTAACCCCGACCACAACCCCACCTGAAACCAAGACCGCAACCCCATCCCCCACCACACCCGAAACCCCAACCGCAACTCCACGCGGGACCTTAACCAAGACCTCACGCCAAACCCTAACCGAAACCCCACCTGAAACCCGAACCACAACCCCACACAGAATCTTGACACGATTACGACCACGCCCCAGACCCCAACCGCACCGGGGACCCCAACCGCAACAACATTCCAAAGTCCGCGTAGAACCTTAACTCCGATAACGACCCCTATTCCAACCGGTACCCCGACTCCGATCCCACCATACATGCAGACATCGAGAAAGTCAGACATAAGATTTCTATTATCGGTCACCATAGGGCCTTCGGATGTACTGCTTACGACCAATACGACCTCCATAAAAGCAAATAATAAAAAACAGTCCATCTGAGGGGTGGCGCGAAACCGACAACAGGGGAGCGTCCTGCAGTCACCTTCCCAAATTGAGTTGCTCCCTCTTGGGCAGAGCGCTAGTGTAGTATATGTACCTCAACAGATACTATTTTATAATGTATTTGAGCAACGGAACTTTCTTGTTTAGCAAACTTCTAAATACGTTTGTGTTGTAAACATATAAAGTAAAACTTTATTTTTTGTAACATTATGATTTTAAGTATATATTTGAAATGTTTCGCATTGTGTGTTCATTTATTGTTGCGTTAAGGGGAAGGGGTGTGCGGACGAAGTGAATAAATTAACGAAGATAGAAGTTTTGAAGAGTTTTATTTTTAAACTCTGAAAGAATATAATGTGTTTACTAGGAAAGATATAGTTTTAACTGTTTGTATATAATCTAACATAAATGTTTATAGTTTAAGCCAAAGACAACCGCACGGCGTAGCTTTTCCCCACTCCAGCGTGGGTTCAAAGGATAGCAACGAGAGTACAATTCGGAGGTTTTCTATACATGTTGTATGTATTGTAAAGTGGCAGCAGGTCGTTTTCGTAAAAAGTTCATCGCTTATTTTTTTTCTTTAAACATAGGAAACAGAGTTCTTTGTAGGGATATAATTTTCTACAGTAGGCACAACGTACTGATGCATCATTAGCTGAGGTTTCCGCCCATGTTTTGAAACAGTCACAGTGAATAATATGTCCACAACATGGCGTTTTGGTGGTGAAGAGAACGTAGTGAAGGGTTCCCCTGTCTGGACGGTTTGCTGCATTATTACGAGTCCGCGACCAGTATAGTTTTTAGAGACAAAGAAAGAAATCGGTTGAGGGTGGAAATTAAAAAAAAGAAGAATAGCTTGAGATATGGCCCTCGGTAAATGGCCGTTTATCCCCGAGCCAACGGCGCAGTTCGTTATGTTTGACGGTTTCCAGACAACAGTGGCACTCTCCTTTTTCGATGTTATCTTCCTCTCGTTGTTCTTCTTCGCTTCATTCTCGAACTGTAGAGCGTGTTCCAAACAGAGACAGTATTTGAGATGAGAGTGTATAGTTTGGTTCTGGCAAAACACCGATAGATTCCATTATGTAATTAGTAATATATTACCGTAGGTATTTATAGAGTTAGCTGTTGCGCGCTGGGTATATAATTGAATATGTCAATTTAATCTGACTTATAATTAATAAAACAATATGAATACCGCGTGTAAGCATCACAGGAAACAACCATAGCAAATATACAATTCAAAAGTTTATAGAATTCACAAGTTTTTAGCCAGAAAAACCAACATATCGACGTTGTGCGGTTTTAGTAGCCTAATGACCGTTTGGCTCTAACTATGTTGCTAGCAACACTAAAAGTCGTTCGGACGAGGACCTTGAACCACAAATACACAAGTATTTGCCTGCAAGTTTTGCCAGGGGATGATATCCAACAGCGTGCATGCATTCTCCACCATTGAAGTGGGTCAGCATCTAGGAGGGTGTTGTGACAATTTCGTACACGTACCTGTATTCAGCCATACATATAACAACGTTTTTTTCTTGTTCGTACATTGGCTTTCTCCTGGAATGTCGTGCACTTGTGTTTTTTAACAAAGTTTAGGTTTTTAACTACACTAAATAACTTGATTACTTTGTCTAGCGGTAGGGGTAGCACACCATATATAACCACAATATGGAGGCTCTTTCCTCACCGGCCGCAATTAACACGTAATGTTCTGCTATAGATTGTGAGTGTTTTTGTGTGAGTGCATGTCGTGAATTATTCCTTTTTTTCTCTTTTTTGCTGTCAACATCGCCTATATATTCTAACTCTTTAAACTCAGCATGTTTAAGATAAAATATAGGTGGGTAAATGTTACGCTCCCTCACGAAATGGATTGAGCAACTTTTTTGTTTCATCCCTTTTATACTGGGCTTTCTTCACAAAATAAAAAGACACTGACCTCTTCCCCTACGGGTTCACGAAAATGGTGATAAATTTCCGAGCTAGATAATTAAGCAGCTAGAGTTGCTCAAAACATTAATTTTAAGAGGAAACAATCCATAGTCTGGCTGCTCTAGCTTCCCAACGAATTCTTCAAGACATGCTACAAATAGCCTATTTCCATAACCTTAGGCTTAGCAGAAATTCTGTCTTTAAAGTTTTTATATTCATTATTTTTAAAATTAAAATAAACAACGTTCCAAATTTCTTTATGATCTCTATAACCACTTCCTAATAATAAAAATCCATTTTTTCACATTTTGTTACAATATAATATTCCTCGTTTAATTTTATTTTAGTAATAAAAAATGGAACTTCTGTTCCAACATTTATTGGATGCAAAGCAGTTATGTATTGTGACAGTGTGACAGTGTTTAAAGTGGGAACTCCCACAAAACAATCTATGCCAAAATAACACGATGTGGGTTTCACTCCATTGAAAAGGTCCCAGCATAAATAACAGGTCCTTTTCACAATGGTACAGGATAGCAAACCAACGTGATACGCCGCAGTTCCTCAGCCTTTCTTTGTCGTTGATTGTTCGTATTCGTTGTTTCGTCTTGTTTCGTTGTGAGCTTCCTCACCTGAAACTTTTCATTCGTAATTTTTGCTTCATTGAGTCCACTGACGAATTTGGGTTGTGCACACCCTTTTATACTAACGGCTGAGGGGATCTTTGTACACGTGATCTGGCGAGTGGTGTGATTTGTATCCAGCCAATCAACGTTGAGTTATAGAAGTGTTGGTTGGCGTTGCTAGCTCGTTCCAGCTCTCACATTCTGTTTATTTAAGGCGTCGTCGCACTTGTCGAGTAGGTTTGCTGTTCAATCGATAAATGTTAAAATGTGTTCACAACTTAAAATACTTATCAAAATATCATAGTAAAATCTTCAAACTATACATATGTGAACCTTACTTTACCTACTAAACTAAATTTACTTACAATTTTATTAAACCAAGATTTTGATGACGTAATGTTATAATTACTCGAGCGCGCGAAATATACCGAACAATGATTGACGGCAATACGCCCTAAGCATGCACACATTCAAGGTCAATGAAGAACCAACCTTGGACTTTGTATTGTAAACACAACAGCCCACCATCCAAGGCTTCCCTCCAACTTTGACAGTTTGACAAATCATTTATCTTGCCTAATGGACAGGTAATTTACATTTTTGCGCAGGTCCGAAATGATCTACTTTTTCCGCGTTTAACAGCAAAAGTGCTCATTATCTCTCCATTTCACGTAACTAATATTTATAATAACCTGGTGTGCAAACTGAACTATTTTTATACTTTTAGATACTTTCGTAACAAATACATGCACAAAACACACAAATAAATAATTTGTATCATTATGCATGTGCACAATCAAAATATGATATAATTTCCCAAATAACAATTAACATTATACTTTCTATATGAAAGTCAACATATATAATCGTTCAAACAGTATATTATAATTCGCGGTGCCATATTTCTTCCAGATCATTTAATTTCATCCGCAAGCACAGCCTATATATAAGAATATAATTATTATTTATTATTATTGTGATTATTGGTTATTATTATTTTTTGATATTATTATTATTTATTAGTATTATTGTTATTATTATTATTATTATTATGAGGATTTTATACAAATGAAACCATTTCTTTTACGAGTTGCATTGGACCCATGAAGCTTTTTTCCAGCCATGTTGGGTGGCCACTCGCGATTACATAATAAACAGAGATTAGTGGACCGTAAAATGTTTAAGCAATAGTGTTTTGCTTTTACCGGTTATTACGTAATATACACGTATTCGCCCACCTTCAAAATATCAGAAGGACGATTTACAATTATTGATTTCACTCTTGCAGCAGTTCTTGTCGCTGCAGAAGTTGCAAACATCATTGAGACAAGCTTTCTTGCAAGATTGCATATCAACGGTTGTTTCAATTTTGGGGCGGTCTTGAGTGGAGACACGAAGATCTGTGACAATAAAATCGATTTTCTGATTGTTAACCTTTGACGCAAATACTACAATCTTTGCTTTGGCATTTGCCTCTTTCGATAAAAATATAAATCATGCTCTTTTTCGTCATCGTAAAAGTGTCACTCGTTTGAAAACGGTTGTTTCAATTTTGGGGCGGTCTTGAGTGGAGACACGAAGATCTGTGACAATAAAATCGATTTTCTGATTGTTAACCTTTGTCGCAAACACTACAATCTTTGCTTTGACATTTGCCTCTTTCGATAAAAATATAAATCATGCTCTTTTTCGTCATCGTAAAAGTGTCACTCGTTTGAAAACGTTTGTTTCAATTTTGGGGCGGTCTTGAGTGGAGACACGAAGATCTGTGACAATAAAATCGATTTTCTGATCGTTAACCTTTGTCGCAAACACTACAATCTTTGCTTTGGCATTTGCCTCTTTCGATAAAAATATAAATCATGCTCTTTTTCGTCATCGTAAAAGTGTCACTCGTTTGAAAACGGTTATATAGGCTATCGACAAACAATGGCGATTTTCAAAGCATCTTGAAGTACAAGATGTCCCCGTAGCACTGAACTTCGAGATGGAATTTTGGAGGTAATAAATAGGGATCGTAATACAAACAGAGATGTTCATAACAACTTCTTAATTTAATATAAAACGTCCCAAAGTTCAAAATATTTCAAATACATGCAACGACATTTTTATACTTTTTAATAAGTCGAACTTATTTAATTTAAAAAACGTCATGCGTAGCGTATCAAACTACAAAATGAAGCTTTTCATCCGACAGCAAAGTATACCTGGTCCTTTGCAAGTGTCTGTCGTCGTTCCAGAAACACGCACCTTGTTTGTTGCCTTCACATTACTAGCGTGGTGGGAATTGAAAATGCAGCAGCCACCGAATCTACATAGAGAAAGCAAGAACGTGCCTAATATTTAAACTTTTGGCTTGAAAAGAAATCGTAATACGTTCAAAAATAATGGGAGACCGTTTGACTGTCCCGGGGAGAGAGAAAAATATATAGTAATATACGAACAAAGTAACTGCATAAAAATGATTAGTTAATACTTTTTTAATTCTGACCCAACTAATTGCATGCATGTATGCGCTAACCTGCGGCAACATGTATACATGTTGAGTGTACCTAAGATATTTTGAGTTGGCATGTATACTCTCACGAGTCTCTAATAATAAGGGGAAAAATACATAAATCGCATGCAATCTTAGTAAAGAAACGAGTAATTAATCATAATGTAAATAATAAAAATTTATATACAAAACTTAGGGTGTTCAATTTCAAGTCAGTGTTCATGACTGTCGTTATCGGGAATTCGAAATTGTATTACCACTACCAACCATCTCAAAGCATTTAACCATATGAGTAAGCATTTGAGGCCAAACCAAGTGTGCAGTCCTTGCATTTGACTTATATGCTTTGTATTAATGTCGTCGTGGCTCTTAATAATGGCAAAGAAATCCACCAAAAGACAGAGGAATGTAGTTGTATAGGAACAATCACGATTACGCATGCACTCCACCAGTGTTAGATATTCTATTGTTCGATAATTGTGATTTTATTTCTCTGCTTCTACGCGAGGTAGGGAATCGTTTACAATCAATCTCTAATGACTATTAGTTCTTAATGTTCGTCTTCGTGGAGTAGTTTTCTAAGTTCACTTCAGCCTTGAGCAGGTTTTGACCGTTCGTGATATGTTCGTTAATTTCTTCGTCGTTCGTTCGTTTGTTTCGTTTGAGTTTCTGCAGCTTTTCATCAGTTAAGCTTTATTCAGCATACGTCCACTGGCGATTTTCGATTGCGCACGGCCTTTTATACTAACGGTCGAGGGGGATTCTTGCACACGTGCTCCAACAAGAGGTGTGATCCGTCTCCAGCCAATCAACGTTGAGCTAGGGAAGAGTGTGTAGGCGGTGCTAGCTCGTTCTAGCCTTCAAATTCCGTTTGTTTAAGGCGTTGTCGTATAGGTCGAGTCGGTCTACTGTTCAATCGATCGATGCCAAAACAGGCTTACAACTCAAAATACTTATCCAGGTCTTATAGTAAAAACTTCAAACTATACCTATGTGAACATAACCTTACCTACAAGACTAAATTTACTCGTGAACTAAGATTTTGATGACGTAATATTTTAATTGCATGACCGAGTGTTATCCAGCCTGGAATGACTCATATTTTACGCCTGAGTCTGTCCACGTGAAAAGGTCAATGTTCATGAGACCCAAGGCAGCTGCCCTGTTTAAACAGATCTGCCCACAAGAGAAACTATAGGAAACAGGTCAATCAAAACATGACATCTCCACATGCACAACTGCAGCTAGTCTAACAAACTGTCACAGCCTAATGGAAAAAATAATGAATGTTTTCCGAAGAACCGAAAGCTAGATTTACGTTACTTTGATTTGTGGCAAAATATTCATTATTTCTTATTATGCTTGAAGTAATATTTGCTTGAACAAACATTTCACCTGCTCTCAAGCAAACATCTTCTGTGTTTTTTTTTTATTTTTACCTAAAATTTTATGTATAAGTAATAATGTTTCGTAACACTATTTAGTTACACGCGGGAAATACTTCTGCACGAGGACCTCGTAAGCTCTACCGGGATCTTTGTTTAAGCACGCATCCTCATACCACTGTTACGAGGTTTTATTTAAGTAGTGAATCGTTACAAGTTTACTCTAATTATTGTACAAATGTCTCAGTCTCAATGTTCTCTTCCAAGTTCTCTTCATTTCTCCCTCAGCTCTTCTTCGTCGTTTTATGTTCGTTTCCTTTGTTGTCTTGTTTTGTTTTGTTTTGTTTCGAGTTTCTTCATTCACTCTGTTCGGTTACTCTGAATCCACTGTCCGAGTTGAGCTGACCTTCTCCTTTTATAGGAATGTTTCTACGGTTGAATGTACACGTGAACTGAAACGTGGGACGATCCTAATCTAGCCAAGCAGCGGTGAGAGGTGCTCTTGTGCCATGTGCTCTTTTTAAACAAAGCTGCTCACAAGATAAATTAGTGGGAGACTATACGTCTAATTTTGGCAATTGCACCTGCACTAATGTAGCTGCTCTCATCAACTGTCATGCATGAATGGAATGTTTTACGTTTGGCCGAAAAAATCAATTATTTATCCCATGTTGTCGTAAATAATATTTGTCTTGTGGGATACTTTTTCTATTTTTCAAGCCAACATTATTCTGAGTTATGTTTTGAATTTTATTTCCGTCTTGTTTTTGAGAAAAGCAGTCCGCATATGCATGGCTTCACCTATGAGAACGCATATGCATGGCTTCACCTTCACCGCCACTGAATTTCCGCCAAGTGAATTTCCAGGAAAAAGTGAATTTCCGCCACTGCGAGGTTGTAATCGTTACAACAAAGTAGTGCGTTATTTTCTAATGTCATATTGGTTTTTTTAATATATTTTTTTCTTTTTCTGTGTTTCTTCTTCTGCCTCATCTTCGTTGTTTGTTTTAGTCTTGGTCCTGTTCGTTGTTGTTGAGCTTTTGTAGCTTTTCACTCTTTTTAATCGGTCTACGTCCACCGACTAGAGTTGGGCTGGGCACGCGGTCGAGGGGAACTTTGTACATGAGACTGAAAATGTGGGATGATGTTGAAAGAACCAATCAGCGTTCAGGTGGTGAACCCTCGTCCCAGCTCTTTATAATAGGTGTTTGATACAATCTTACTAGCACTTTCTGTTTCCATGTAATTAATAACAATACTTCTAGATTGTTTTCCTAATCTGGTTGTCATGTCAAGACATACATGATGAGAACCGTAAATATAGCTTGTTAACACAACAAAAGACTCTCTTCGACCCTGAGGCTCTGCAATTCCGGTGCAGTTAGGAGTTAGTTTAACTTCAAACGATTTTGTATTAAATTTGCTGCCCTATATATATATATATATATATATATATATATATATATATATATATATATATATATATATATATATATATATATATATATATATATATATATATATATATATATATATATATATATATATATATATATATATATATATATATATATATATATATATATATATATAATAACTACTGCATGGTGTACTTGATTCAGATCACGTTCCAAACTTAAGAGTTTTCGTTCCTCGCTGCCTAAATCTGTGGTGTTGAAATGACTTAAAGGTAGGGTACAGTCAAAGGGTACAAAGCGTTTGTTTACATTTCGGTATTCAAAAATATTGAACTTTATTCGACAACTAGTTATATTTTCATGCATCTATACAGTATAATAAATGATCAAGATACAACAATCGGGCTTTGCCAGAACATAAAATGAAATAAAAGCCTAATTAAAGTGTTTATATCACGGCAGGAGATTCCTATGTGCGCATGCGCTGACCGGACTGTACCCTATCTTTGATTAAAGCATACCAAGTAATACAAGTCGTCATCCAATTTCATGTGGTTTACACGTCGTTTTCTAGCCATCAAAATTGTATAGAATCATGGCACAACGTGCATTAATAACTTAAATGTCGTTTCAAAGCTGTAAATTTCAAAATTTTCCGGGGCAACATGATCCTTTAGCCCATGATGTAGTTTCTCGCACCATCGGCACTCGGTGCTACCCTTGTGGTGCTACGCATGGGGGGAACCGACATAAACCATTTTTCTGTTTCGACAACCCACTTTCGTTCGGCAAAACGAACCCACACCCTTTGGATCCAAGTGTTGACACCAGTTGTGTTGTTGTACCCCAATTATATACGTTTTAAAAGTTTACCCGCTGTTTCGCTGCAGTTATAAAGACCAACATTGTGGATTTAGTAGTATTTTGTATCTGAGAGACTAAAAGATTAAACTATGTTGCCTTTATATATATATATATATATATATATATATATATATATATATATATATATATATATATATATATATATATATATATATATATATATATATATATATATATATATATATATATATATATATATATATATATATATATATATA